AGAGGGAGAGAATCACCTCTTTTGACCCGTTGGCCACAACTCCTTTGGATGCAGCCCAGGATTCCATTGGCTTTCTGGGCTGTGAGCACACACTGCAGCTCATGGTGAGCTTCTCAACCACTCTCACTGGGTGCACTCAATCCACTGTCCATGCTGGGAACGAATATTTTGGGCAGTGCCACCCCCAGCATTGACCCCTGAAGGACAGCACCAACTCCTGAGGGACAGTGCAGACCCCTGAGGGACAGCACTGTGCCCTGAGGGACACCACTAACCCCTGAGGGACAGCACTAAGACCTCAGGGACACCACTGACCCCTGAAGGACACCACTGAGCCCTGAGGGACACCACTGACCCCAGAGGGACACCACTGACCCCTGAAGGACACCACTGACCCCTGAGGGACACCACTGACCCTTGAGGGGCACCACTCCTCACTGGCTCCACGTGGACAATGAACAGCTGGCCATAACTCTCTGCATGTGACCATCCAGCCAGTTCTTTATCCACCGAGTGCTCCACCCATCAAATTCAACTCTCTCCAATTTAGAGACAAGGGTGACAGTGATGTTGTATGTCTACTTATTTACTATTCTTTTCATTAGATAAACAAATCCTGCCTTAGCTAGCAAGGTCTTAGAAGATGTTGACCTGAATTCTGTCCATGGAAGCTGCTGGATGTGATTATCCTTTTTCCAAATTATTACTGAGGTTGCCAAGGTCCCACATTGGGAAAACCCAGGATGACCTCAGAGTTCATAAGTGCACTTCAGCATACATTGCTGTACTCAGTCACAAACACTTTGGGGTCAAAGGTTTTCAATTATACCTTCATTGCATTTTTAATATGTAAACATAACAGATAAAAGAGCTTTGCTAATTACTATATCCACAATAATAATATATTCCCTTCATTGTTAGGAGCTGTAAAATATTATTATTATAATTGAATAATGTGCCACTGTGGAAGTGCACACTGCCAAATGTAATGTCTATACATGTTTACATAGAAACCATTAATTTCTTGGGATTGTCTACAGATCTAATTGACCTGGTTATATAATTACATATATCAGAAAATATTTTTTACAACCCTAGATTGTAGATTGCAATCATCCTTTTAGCTAGCTGAGCTGCATTTGAGCCATGCACTCATTTTAATACTGAAGGGCGTAAGCCCATAAAACAAATCAAAGGCAAGACAGGACAGCTAGAATGAACTGGAGGTGTTTTCCAGTGTTCAAAACCTGCTGTAAAAATAGTTAAAGTTACCTTGTCAAAGTGCAAGGTTGTGAAACTGGTGGCTGTTTATGCTGAGTTTGAAAAAAATAAGTCACTTCTCATATATAGTTAGAGGAATACATTATTCTTATCGTCCAGAACGAGTTCAACCTACTATATTGTGTGTAACTTGTTGGAAAAGAGGCATATGCACATGGAAAGTTAATTCCTGTTGTCAGTTATTTACACATAGCTCTAGTCATTTCAATAGAATTTTAGCATCTATGGGGAAAAAATTAGTCCAGGATACACAATTCCACAGAATTTTACAGTTTCTTCTGTGAAATGCTCTTAAAGCCTTTTATTTTTCTGTGCCTCTTTTTTTTCTAAATGATGTGTTTATACATGAATAATTTATCAGAATAAGATGCGAAATACTTTAGAGCTTATATCTACATATTGTTTATTTTTACCATAAGCCTGTTTGTAAACTCTGAAGCAAAAAATTGCAGTTCTGTCACTGTAATTGAGATGTGTGGGCCCCATCTGACTTAACTAAACATAACTGAGAGCAGAATGATACCAACACTGAACAAAGTGATAGGTATCAGTATAATTAGGTAAAAAATGGAAGAATTGAATCATACAGAAAAATCAAGCAAGCACGCTATGGACAGAAGATATTAGGGTTAAGTGATGCAAATTCAAACTGAACTCACTCCTGGGTTGTTGGTGCATCACAACGATACCAAATCACACGTAATTGTGTTTCAAGTTCCATGTGAGAAGTTCATATCATAATTGTTGTTTTTGCAGTATGTGTTTTGTGATAGCTACATATACAATACCTAAAAGTCCGTGATAGCTTATATTACAGACTACAGAAATAAACCCTCAGGGCAGTGAAGGGTTTTTTTGTTTATTTGGCTTTGTTTAAATTACATGCTATTTAGAGTTCCGAAAATGGAAGGAAGGATTGATTAAGGGATGTGCTACAGTCTCAGAGTTCTGTTTGAAGTCTGGTAGATGCGTGTTATTACTTACACAGACTACTTATGCAAGAGGGATGAGATGTCATGTAAGAGTAGAGAAACACACAAGTGTGGAGAAACAAAATCAAGAAAATCACCCTTTCTTATGTGGACACTGTGAAGAGGCCAAGGAATGGAATAGAAACCACCACAAAAGGAGGCTAACAAAACTCCTACCACAGAGTCATTGTTCCCATTGCATTTTCTTTAATAATAATATTTCTAGTAACACAGTCTCCAATTTCTGCAGGTCCCAAGTGTAAGTCAGGAGTGAAGTTCATCATGTTAGCCATATTTGTCACACCCCTTTTTTTACATCCTACCCAGTTCTTTCCTATTTCCCTTTCTAGGTTCTCCTGCTCATGTACATTAGCTGTGATCTATAGCTTGTGCATTTATCCCAAATTGCCAGGTTAGAAACCTGATGCAAAGTCTGCATTCTTTTTGAGAGAGGGATTCTCACAGCTTTGTTAAATTCTGGTATTCCCCTCAAAGGTCTTTCTAGTTCCTCTGCAGTGAAATCTAACTAGCTCTGAGGGACATAGAATAGATTTTTTTTCTTTTCATTCTTTTCTTTCATCACAGCATCTCTGCAGATTAGGTGATGACTAAGAGTAGGTGCATAGGGTAGCATGACAGAAGGAAACACAGAGGTCACCACAGAAGCAGTAAGAGGCACAACAGGTGAGGCACAAAGCACAGTGGTAATGGATGACATATGTAATCTTACTGAACTGATAGTTTTCTGCCCTATAATTTATCCTCACTCAAGTTTGATCCTCATCATTATTTAAGTCAATTAATTTAATTTCATACATAAAGTATTTTCTGCTTCTTAAAATAAATTTTAAAATTTTAATAATGATTAAAAAAACCCAGAATTACTGGTAGGATGATGAAGAATACAATCATTGCAACCGAAATTAATGAAAGTCTTTCCACTGACTAAACTGATGGTGAATGCAGGGTTCATATTCCTTTTTTAAGTATGTGTTACAAAAGATATCCTTACTTGCTACTGAAAGGATGAGAAGATTAAAGAGCTTTTGTTTCTCTATAGGCTGTGACATGTGGTAGAAATGTTAAGCCTGAGTCATACATTATTCAAGCAAAGCCTTTATTATTAGCTGATTCTTTAACTGTTTTCAAGAGACTGAGCAGATGCTCTGAAATTCAAGAAAGGCTTCGTGAATTGCTCACAATACCAGAGAATTACTGGTAAAGAGCTATTTTTTTGCTGTTGAAAAGAGATCTGTGCCATTCATTCTGCTAAATCTGCAAGAGCTTGTCTTTGTACTAACAAAAGGAACATAACAGTCTCAGTGCTTTAGTTCTCAAGTTGTGAAAAAGAACTTTAACTGTTATTTCATCTAGTGCTGTTATTGTTTCCATTGAAACACCTTTCACATCCCTGAAGGACACATCTATAGACAGGGTTGTTCTTGATGGCATGTCACGGAAGGTCAGGTCAGAGTTCCACCATAACACTTAAAAATAATGGCAGAAGTCACTAATTCCCAGTTTCAGCACTGACACCTTGTGACATCAGGGGCAAATTAGATGGTTTTCCTGAAACCTGTTTTATGAAAAAGTATTGAGTGAGATATTGATAACATTGCTTTGTGTTATGGGCTTCTTGTAATGGGAAAAATAACGCATAATAATGCTTAAATGAATGAACAATGAAAACTGTGCAATATGAACTACTTTAAAATAGCAGCATAAGCTGCAGCTAAGAACAAGAAAAATTTGCAAGTTATACCTGCAGGGTGATACAGAGTAAAGCATGTAGCCTGGGAAGTAGGCTTGGTCTCCTGTTCCGGAAGCAATTGAGTCAGCATTCAGCATAATACCTTGTAACCAACAGAAAGATCTCAATCCCTTCTTGTCTCTCTCCATGCCTTCACTTCTTCCTCCCTTCTGCTGCATCTGGCCATATGATCCTTCTTCTCTGTCACTTGCACTTGAACATGTACAGTTCTTCATTGACCTGACTTAAACTACTTCATCAGAAAACTTCATGTTTCATATTTCCTTTCGTTAGGGTAATCTTCTACCTTTTGATGTGCTAAAGGGGATCACAAATGGATCAGGCAAAGCACAAGTTAGTATTGGATGCTGAAGAAAGGAGCAGAGAAAGGACACAGGACACCATCCTTTTATGGAGGGTAAACTTGTTATGTCAGGTCATGCAATCTCTTGGAATCACAGTTAGATAACTTAGTTGGAGGGGAAGCTGGGAAAAAGGGCTTCCTACTAGCTTTAGAGAGTAATGAAAACTTTATGCAAGTATCTTCTGTAGTACACGTAATATCTGGTTTGACATTCAGACAAATAGCTAAGAATAATATATTTTTTTCCTTTAAGCAAAGGAATAATTTACCAAAACACAATAGTTTAGAGAACTTACCCAAAAAGATTTTCTTACAATCCAGGAATTTCTAGGTTTTAAGAAACAAGGTTACATGCCTGAGAGCAGGGATACATATTTGTGATGAGGAAGAGCTGTATAGCTTGGTCTGCAGCCTTGATCTCTATTGTACCAGAAAAATGGGCTAAATGACTGCTCTGTTAGCCGGTCTTATTCTTTCTGTTCTTAGTCAAACCTCATTGGAACTACTCAGATTTGTCCTGATGTGAAAATTTTTCAAATTGCAAAAATGGTGAGACAAAGAAAATATTTCCTACTCAACTTTTGTTACTACTGGTTTAAACACTGTCATTTTCTTCTCCACTTTTAGAAAGTTTTATTTTTTTCTTTCTTACTCTATTTCATGAAAACTCAGAGTGGGGGAAAACTTTAACTTCTCAATAATGTGTCTGGGATGCACTCCAATGTGAATTTTCTCATTTTAATATATTTTGTGCCAGGACTGTACTTGCCGCTACAGAGAAGGAACACTGTCAGGCAGTCCAAAGGAGATTTGCAAGGATACCAAAATATCTCACCAGTGTTTAGCTCTCTTGTATGTTCCATTATCATGATCCATATCTTTCATTCCATTCTCTCCCTCACAAAAGCCCTGGCAGATCTGTCCTGAAACTCCCATTCAATTTCAACACTGCATTTCATTTTCATACAGTGAGCATGAATTAGGTAAGTGTCAGCATGGAAATTGAGAGCATAATGCGTTTTGGCCTATGAGTGGTGGCAGCTATGTATCACTGTTAAAATCACAAACCACAAAATTTCACATTTTTGTTTTCCTTCCGTGTTGCTGTAGTACTAGGAGACATGGATTGCAGTGTTCTTTAGTGACAAAGGTTTGAAGTTGTTTCCAGAATGTGTGTTGTAGTTTCCTTACTTATTTTGTTCCATTTGGTCCTTTGGCTCTTATTTTGTGTCTCATGTGAGCCACTGGGGTTTAACTGAACCCCTTCAAACTGGTAGGAGTAACATATGGCAGCAGGTTGGTGTGGTCTGCTCTCTTTCTGAACAGTTCTTACTCAGAGTTTGCATACACCACTCTTTCTCTCCATTTACATTGTGCAAGATCAAGCTCGAAGCATCAATGATATATAATCTGAGCCTCCATTTTAACCAATAAATAATGAATATATGTTTTGTTTAAATATTTTAAAGGAAAAGATCCTGGTGCTCCACCCAAGATCCTTGACACTAAAGTGGAGGAGAGTTCTGAAGTACCTATTTTAGAAGACACGTCATCATCACCTACAGATATTCAACAGCACCTATGGCAGGTTTCCACGGATATTGAAAACACTGAAAGGTACGTGTAGCACTTCATTCCTAAACAAAAAAAATTCTGTCTAGCTTCATTTAGTCTGTTTCACTTTGACAGCCAATTTTGCTACTATATAAGTAAATTAAATAGCCTGTTAACATTTCTGTTACATTTCACACAGCTGATAGCAACTTCTAAAAGGGGGGCAAATATAAGTAACATGTTATTTAGGATGATTGCCAGATGATTGTCAAAAATAGGATGATTGTCAAAAAAAGAGTGGGAAGTGATGTTGCCAGTGGGCCAGGTTCTCTAAAAGAGAAAGCTTTTGCCTCCTCTTGAGTGGTTTCTAATTTTGCCCCTGAAATGTGGAAGCCTTAGGAGGGGAGGGGAACATAATCCATAGGTTTGTCATTGTGGATGTCTCTTAGCTGAAAGACAAAAATGAGGCCCTTCAGTAGAAAGCAATCCCAATGGCCAACATGTCTTTGCAGAAAGTACATATTTTGATGGCTTTGTATATTAAACTGCTGCTGAGATTTGAATGGTTATCATCCTCATTTACATGAAGTGAAGTTCTGTTCTAATGAAACATGACTTGGAGAGTAAAACTGAGCAATTTTTTACCAGTCACTGTATTCAGTTCTGGGCCCCTCAGTTCAGGAAGAATACTGAGGTGCTGGAGCAGGTCCAGAGAAGAGCAACGAGGCTGGTGAAGGGACTCGAGCACAAGTGCCACGAGGAGAGGCTGAGGGAGCTGGGGGTGTTCAGCCTGGAGAAGAGGAGGCTCAGGGGAGACCTTATCACCCTCTACAACTCCCTGACAGGAGGTTGGAGTCAGGTGGGGGTTGGTCTCTTCTCCCAGGCAACCAGCAGGAGGACAAGAGGGCACAGACTCAAGCTCTGCCAGGGGAGGGTTAGGTTGGATATTAGGAAGAGATTTTTTATGGAGAGAGTGCTCTGGCATTGGAATGTGCTGCCCAGGGAGGTGGTGGATTCCCTGGAGGTTTTCAAGCTGAGACTGGATGTGGCACTTAGTGCCATGGTCTAGTAACCATGGTAGGGTTGGACTTGATGATCCTGGAGGTCTTTTCCAACCTGGCTGATTCTGTGATTCTATGATACGTAGATGAATAAGGCAAGATCTCATTGGTTTTAAATCCTGAAAGCATTAAGGCATTACAAGCCTGCATACAAAATTGCTGCTCTGCCAACAGGAACCTTTTTACAACTTCAGCCCTCTTTCAAAACATATCCAAATGTCGATTGCTTTGGGAGATGGTATTTTGTTATCAGATTTTCTGGAAAATTTAATGCCAAAGTCCTCCTAAGAGAAGAGTGACAGCCTGTTTCTTAAGTTTTCATTTAATGTGCAGAGAGCTAAAATATCATGGGCTTGCTACGTGTATTATATGTTTATTCTGAACAGTGAAACATTTAGGCTCAAGCTACAAAATGCTGATAAGGGGTATGAAGTTGTCACATAGTACTAACTCGTGCTAATTTTAAGACATATTGTGTATTTTGTCACTAGAATCATATTGTGCCCACTAAATCATTTAATGTGAATACTCAAGTGCCAGATTAGATCATAAATTTGAACCAGAAGCAACTAGTTAGTATTGGTTAGTATAAAAATGCTCTCTTATTAAATCTATTACCCTTCCTTTTGGAATGCATCTTCTGATACATGTGTGTAAACCAAATGCTTGCCCAATAGATTTTTGTATTTATTGCTCCATTATTTCAGCATATAAAACTATGGTGTGAGCCATTCCCCATTCAGTCTTCAACTGCTGTTCTATTGTGCCTCTTTTAACTGTTGTTTCTGCAGAGATATGAGAGAAATGAAAAACCTTTTAAGCAAACTCAGGGAGACTATGCCTTTACCACTGAAAAATCAAGGTAGGTTTTGAATTTTCTTCATGTAAGGAAAATTAAGATAATTAAAGGTTTTTCCTTTTGTTAGCTGCAAAAAAAAAATTTAGGGTTTTTTAATAGAAATTACAAAAAGAAGAATCTAGGTGTAATCTCTTCCCTGCTGACTCAGTGGAGCCAGCATTTGGTATGTGATCCTTGGCCTCTCAAGTTCCATGTGAGGTATTCTGGAATTTTATAGACATGGTATCTATAGGTAAAATAATAGACCTTTCCAGGTGACATGAAGGCAAAACCACAACTAATTCCCTGCATCAGGAGTCTTTTTCAGAGGTAATGAAGGTGCAAGCTTCACAGACTATGATAGGGATGTGATGGTGTTTGCTTCCCCCCTCCAATGCTTGTGGTTTCTGTAACATGACATTGACTGCAGAAAAGCTACTTGCCTCAAGTCTGCTTTTCTCAGCACCCCATACAAATACACACGAGGACAGGATATCCATCCTATGCATGTATTTAACAAGAATCCTTCATTTTCTTGTCCAGCAGTGTTAAATTCTCCACATCTACAGGGACTCTCTTTGTTCATGAGAACAACATAAAAAAGATGTTAATTTTCCTTTTTGTTTTCTTCTTGATAACGGGTATTTCTTAAATTCTGTGTAGACTTCGCACAGTGGCAGCTGATGAAGTTATGCTTAATGTGGCCTAGATCTTGTCCAAAGTAACTAAGCAGTTTAGCATTCATCATAATATGGTAAGAGATGAATGTAGAATAATTTGATTCATTATACAAGTAAAAGTTCATGGCTGGATGGCTCGATAGAAAAATGGGTGAAAGGAAAAAGGTGGTCTGTGATACAGATGCACCGTTGTAGAGATTGGAAAAGTGACAAGAAGTCTATGCCTAGCTTAGAAGAAAGAAGCATGCTGGAAATAATGAAGGAAAAGCAAATTTTGGGGATATAAAGCATAGAGAAAGTTGAATTCAGAGCAGAGATAAAGGCTTACAGAATGATTCTCTGCTGCCTGGTGTCTACACTGACCTGAAAATCACTGATCACCTGTGCTGCAGGATGGGAAACAGCCTAGAATTTAAAAGCTTTGAGATATGCCTCAGGATCAGGTAATCATAAATGGTGGTTTTGCAGCTCTGATAGTCTCCAACTGTGATCATAGTTTACAGATGATCTCTAAGAATGGATGCCACAGGAATGGACAGTCATAATCACTGATCATACAGCACTTATAATTTTTAAGATATTCCAAGACCTTTAATTAATAAAAGCTAGATAACAGTGTAAGTAAATAGAAAAAAAAACCCAATCAGACAGTATTATAGACAATTAATAGTTTGGAGTGTAATTTTTATATTTATATGAATCACAACCACCGTTTAAGAGAACAGTTATGAATGAATGGTATTGAATGAGTTGATCTTTACAAGTGATCAATCGTGCCTTCAGTACATGAGTTAAATGAGTGTTTTGCCATTGATTTCAGTGACAACCAGAATGGAGTTAAGATGGCAAGCTCACAAAAGTTTTACATAATGTTACTGACTGCTCACAGACCAGGCTTTATATATGAAATTCTCTTAAGCGACTGCAGGAAAATTACTATGCTAAGAAGTTCAGTTGTTGTGGTTTGTAAGCTTGAGTCACAATATTAAATCATCTCTTACCAATGTTCTCGTAGTTAAGTATTTGTTTTACAATAGTGTCTAGGCCCTACAACCAAACTAGATGCCTGATGTAACCAACATGATGAGGCATAGATCTTATCCTGAAACATATCTGAAGATGGCTCAAATTCAAAGTGAATTCTAAAGACTTTGTGAGGTAGCTCACTGACACTGCATGAGTTAACATAAGTATAGGCACCAATATATGCATTTCGTATGAATTTAGAAGGAGCTGATATCAAAGGTAGAAAGCTAATAAGAAAAGCTGTGAGTGTATTGTGGTAACTTTCCCAGATAGGTGGTTTGTCTCTTGATGTGCAAAGATGCTCCAGTGCTGCAGTTTTAAATGTAAATTTCCCTGGATGTGCACAAAAGGCCACCCAATAATGGTTTTTAAATGTTTAAATTAAGCCAGAATTTTACTTTAGGAGTGACATTTCCAAACTTGGATGTCTGCAAGATCCTAACCTACTTATCTTTATGTTTTATTTGGGACCCTAACATTATTCATCCATGCAGGAATATTGTGGCTTAGGTCTCTCAGTGTTGGAGGTGTAATTTCATTTGGGTTTCATCACTGAACCAATGTTCTTCTTGCCAAAATGCCTACTGTATTATTATGGAGATCCTGTTAATTAGCGTTGTAAGACTCTTAAATGCAAAATTCAGTTTATTACTTGCCCTATACCTAGAATAATGGGATCTATTACATCATGGTTGTCAAGCATTGGAATGTGTTGCCCAAGGAGGTGGTAGAGTCACAATCCCTGAAGGTTTTTAAGAAACTATTGGACATGGAATTTAGTGCCATGGTCTAGTTGACAATATAGTGATCAAAGGTTGGACTTGATCTCAGAGGTCTTTTCCAACCTAAATGATTCTGTGGTCATGTAGAAGTGCTGTTAGGGCACATAAATGATATAAAGCCTTGCGTGTGTGCACATGTGTAGATGTTTGTGTTAAAATGTGTTTTTTTTCGTCACAGATGATAGCAGCCTCCTAAACTTGACTCCGTATCCATTGGTAAGAAGACGGAAGCGAAGATTCTTTGGATTGTGTTGTCTTGTCTCAAGTTAGAAGATTAAGCACAGAAGCACCAAGAAAATAATGGCTCAAACCACTATTCTTTGACCACTGAAAAGATGATCGTTGCTACTCTTGATTATAAAGTACATTTTCTACACTAGGCTATTCATTTTGCTGTTCCGCTCCATTCTCCTTTTCAAATAAGGGTTTTAATAGCTAAAAAATATGGTGGTCAAAACCAGCTGTGGAATAGATCTAGCATATTTGAAACTTTTCAAAGTATGTTTTGCATGCTTACTTTCAATCACTCAAAGAAAACTCATGAATTATGATTCATAGATAATTTTAAAGGGTTTTTTTATTGTCTGAACTGCAGCTAAAACGTTGTGCATAGTACAGTACTCTTATTAGTATCATATTAAAATACTTGGTCATACTCTATCAGTCTTTAAGCATAGAAAACTATTTAACAGCAAAAGTATTAAAGTTCTAAAACATTCAAATAATATTGTAAAAGAATTTGCACAAAATCTCCAGTTGCTTTTTGTGCTCTCATTTATATTTAGTCTTCCACTGTATCTCAATTCAAAAGCTTCATAGAAAAAAAATATTAATTTATGATGCACAAACCATATATGAAACTAGTTAGGACTTGTAAATACAGAGAAATCATAATATCTACATACTGTACAATGCATAGAAGCAAAGATTTCCTTTTAAGCCAATAGTATCTCTAAAAGCTTTTCAAAAAAGATAAATAATTTATTAAAAGATGTATTAAAATAAACAATGTAAAACACAACACCAACCCACTTTGTTCCAATAGAATTCAAAGCATGGTTTCTGCATATTACTAAGTATTAATCTGATAAGGCATGCCAGAATTATCTGAGACTCTCAACGTTTTACATTGTTAATAAAGTTTTTTATTTAAATTAAATGTTGTCTTGTTTCTAAGTTGTATTGCCAGACTATGTCTTTTTTTTTTTCTGATTTTGCTATCAGAGTAGACAAAATTTCAACAAGTATGCTTACAATAATATAATAAAAAAACATGATGCTTATATAAATGCTAAAATGACAGCTAGTAGCAGCAGTAGATATGAATAGGTAGAATCAATGCACTGATATTTCAGGATGACAGAAAAGCCACCAGAAATAAACTTGTGCTAGACTGCAACGCTATGAAACCAAATAGCAAGGTCAGCATACCCTTGTAGTCAGTAATAGTGACTCACAGCCCTTCTGCCATTCCACCATGACCCAGCGTGCCAAAAGGAGCCAAAGGGGTTTGGTGCTAGTAAGGAGGTGTTGTTTCCTTGCCACAGGAAACACCCATGCAGTTAAATTTGCTGTGAGTTTTTGGGTAGGATATTAATCCACCCCCTAACTGTTTGTTAGGGATAGCTATTCGCTGAACTCTATCTGGCACCAAAAAAGTTTGATCTGCCTCATTTTTCTACCAAGTTTTCGTCCAGGGATGGTGTTTGCTGACAAAGGATGGAAAAGCCCACACTGTCAGAATGTGGTACTGTCTATAGCAGGGACTGAATATTCAGATCTAATCACCAGGAATGGAAGGCAGTAATTTTTCTTCAAGAAGAGCTACACTGCCCCTGGGTTAGACATTCATGTAATTGAGCTTCCAGCATTTCTCTGGAAGGATTTTTTTCTTATCACTCAGAGTGTTTTAGTTTTTTCCAGGTTGGACTGATCTGTTCACCTTTCAGTCTTCCAAGGAGAAAAATACATTTTTCGAATCATCAGGCCACCAATTAAATACCTCAAGTGCGACAAGGACAAATAAATCTAAAATGCCCAAATGGAAATTGTGTGTTTCCAAAATGAATTCCGTCTGAGGAATGCATGACTAAATTCTTTACATAGCACAGAAAAAGGTAACTGCAATGTGTTTCAAGAGTTCAGGTCATGGACAGCAGTTAAGCATATATATACTTAAGCATCTAACATGGGGATATCTGTACACATTCAGAAAACTGTGTGCTTTTGAGAACAAATGCTTTGGAGAAGAATGGAATTGAAATCCATAGCACAATGTTTTTTCAATGTTAATTCTTTGAAGTTTCCCCCACATTTCATATCAGCATACAACTTCCTTGCGAGGGGAAGTGGAAGGGCAGGCACCGATCTCTTCCCTCTGGTGACCAGTGACAAGACCCAAAGCCTGAAGTTGTGTCAGCTCTCCAGGACAGTGGTGACAGCACCAAGCTTGATGGAGTTCAAGGAACATTTGGACATTACTCTCAGGCACGTGGGGTGATTCTTGGGGATGTCCTGTGCAGGACCAACAGCTGAGCTCAATATTCTTTGTGAGTCCCTTCCAACTGTGAATATTCTGTGATTCTGTGATTGTCATGAACATTGTCCTTGTTAATCAGAGCTGTTTTCTGTATAGGTAGAACTGACATGTTTTCATTAAAAGTCTCAAACCCACAGACTTGCACTGTGACTTCATCCCCACAGATACCGCTAGGTTTTGCAACTGTTAAGACTTTGGAAAAGCAACTTATGATATCTAATGGATATTAAAAATATCATCTGGGAAGATGATTGGTAATTAAAAGTAACCAATTAATGTTTGTTCAGCATAAGCAAAAAAGACATTAATGCTTAAAAAAAGGAGTGTATGAATGCAAGACTGAATATGCAGTGATGCCATGAGAAAGGGGGAAAGAAAATTGCACACAAGATTTCTTTAAAAGTCTTGTTATATTGGTACACACATGGAAATAGCTGTAGGAGGTCAGTGTGATATCTTTTTTAAAACTGCTTTTGAAGGAAGATGGGCAGATTAAGCAGTAAACAGTGTGGTGCAGTACCTGCCCACACAGCACCACACAGAAGTTAACATGCCAAGTTATATGACAGCTCTTATTTCTATATTTTTACCACATCTATTGCAATGGAATTTACATTAATAAGACAAACGTGTCAACATGTTGGTTAATTTTGCAAAGCTCTTGACATCAGTCATATCACAATATGTTGCACAGCTTCAGCATATTCTATAATGGAGACAGACTTACATATATTGTCTTTAAAGCCCTTTAAGATTGCACTGTATTTGATGTGTACAGTAATATTCCTGTACCTTTTGTTATGCTGGAAACTTTAGCAGTGTCACTTCTTCCTGAACTAAAGACCACTAAAATATCACTCTTTGCTTATGTCATGGTTTAACTCATTTTGATGCCTTTCCATACTTCTAAGCAATTTTGGAGCTTATTTCAAGCCCTTTGTATGTATTATACCTTTTAGTCATCCTAATGGACATGTGGTGTAATTCTCAAGCTTTATAGCCACTTAAGGACTAATGGTGGTCAAGGGTGAATGGAATGGCCTCCAGTTATCTTTCAACAGATAATGGCTGTGAAACAAGGCCTGGTAAGTATCAGAATTGAAGAGGTGTAAGAGGATAAATTGGTTTTGTTAGGAATGCAGAGGATTATCTTTTGCTAAAATTTGAAAGGAAACAAAAAAAAACTTTTTTAGGGTCCAGAACATAATGTTGGTAAAAGAAAAAGTTAATGCTATTACTACATTTTAATTTAGTGGAATAGGGCAATGTGAGATCAAAGCTTCAAAGTTCCCACCACAAAATGATAAACAAATAACTTAGAGATTATTTAGAACCATTCTTTTATTTGTTTATTTTCCAAGTGTTAAAAAAAAGGACAACTTTGCATTGATAAATCCCTGAAGGCATGGAAACAAACCATTTAAGGAGAATACTGAGGAAAGCAGTACTTGCTTTATAAATCCTTGCTGGGGTTTCAACATTTTAGTTGAAAATATTATAGGTTAAAGGCACCTTTTGCAAAATTCTTTTTCAGAGTAGGAAACAAGAAGCAAAAATTCCCATACCCACCAAATATGACGTTTCGCCAACTCTTCCAGCAAAACTTTGTGCAGTTCCAGCTTTTCAGAGCAATAACAAGTTCTTTATAACCACCATTCACTTATAGTACCTTTCTTCTTTTCAGAGATATTTCACATCATAAAAATATCTGTCTAGGAAGTCAGATATCTATGTACATTATAAATTTTCCAGAGCAGAAGCAAAAGAGCAAGGATACAGATATATACAGCAGATACTGTAGGCTGCATGTTAACTTTCCCCAGTATGAAGTCAGCATGCAAAATCTGCATGTTAACTTACACAATACGTAGAAGGTTGCCTCTGTGGCCTATTAACCATTCACACCAGGCTCACTTTGAGTGAGATACAATACAGAGGCATTAATTTTTCAATATAAGGTAAACAGATGAGTATAAATGAGAATAAATAGGTTGGACTCGGTGATCTCAGAGATCTTTTCCAACCTTAATGGATCTGTGATTCTGTGACAGGACTTTCAAGAGTGAAGAGCTGTCTAGACTGTGGCAATGCTAAGACTTCTATAAGAGATGCTTATTACATAGCCCAAAATTTATTTTGTATGAAGCAGACACAGACACTCAATAGACATCAAGACAGAAAATCAGTGGAAATACAGTATACTGAATGCAAACAGGAAGAAATAAGAAATACATTAGAGAACACAACAAGCTTAATGGATTATTTTTTTCTGAGCACTGTGGTAGGTTGACCTTGTCTGCCCACCAGCTGCCCACCAAAGTCACATGTCTCTCCCCTCCTTAACTGGACACAGGGAAAAAATTATGACAAAAGGCTCATGAGCTGAAAACAGTGAGATCACTTAATTTGATTACCATTATAGGCAAAACAGACTTTACTCAGGGAAATTAATTTATTGCCAACAATGGAGTAGGATAATGAGAAATAAGAACAGCTCTAAAAACACCTTCCCCTCACCCCTCCCTTCTTCGCAGGCTCAACCTCACTTCTGATTTCTCCAGCTCTTCCCCCCAAGCTGCACAGGGGAATGGGGTTTGTGGTGAGTTCATCAGACACTGTCTGTGATGCTCCTTCCTCCTCATGTTCTTCCCCTGCTCCTACATGAGGCCCCTCTCATGGGAGACAGTACTCCATGAACTTCTCTAACATGAGTCCTTCCCACAGGCTGCAGTTCTTCATGAACTGCTCCAGCATGAGTCCCACCCACAGGGCACAGTCCTTCAGGACCAGACTGCTCCAGCTTAGCTTGGGTCCAGAGTCACAAGTCCTGCCAGCAAACTTGCTCTAGCATGAGCTCCTGTATTGATGGGGTCACAGCATCCTCTGAGCACCTCCACCTGCTCCGGTGTGGGATCCTCCATAGGCTGCAAGTGGATATCTGCTCCAGCAATGGGCCTCCATGGGCAACCTGTTCAGTTCAACTGTGCTCAGTTCTGGGCCCACCAGTTCAGGAGGGATATTGTGGTATTGGAGCAGGTCCAGAGATAGCATGAGCTCCTGTATTGATGGGGTCACAGCATCCTCTGAGCACCTCCACCTGCTCCGGTGTGGGATCCTCCATAGGCTGCAAGTGGATATCT